TTTTTCAAGAGTAGTTAGAAAAGTCAAATAATTGTACTGTAATTGTAAGGAATAGTAGTCAGTCCTACTGAAGTTGGCATTACTTTGCCTGATAAAAACTAAGAAGAGGGGGAGAGAAAAAAGAACAACAACAACTGTGTGACCTCTACTGACCTTCAGTGAAATGTTATGCCTGTCTTGGTTTGCTTTCCTCCTCTTCTACTTCTACTTTTACTTCTTCTTCTTCTTCTTCTAAGTATCATTTATTATTTTTGTAAACACACATCTTGTAACTTAGTTTTCTGTATGGCATTCCTTTCTTGTCAAGTTATTGTACTTCATTCACACTTATCGATTTGTCTTAGCTGAATTAGGTCATCTAGATCACTTGATTCTCCTTCTTCTTCTCTTTTTTCTTCTTCTTCAAAAAAGGCTTTTTAGTTGTAGTAGTTATTTATGATTTCAAAGTTTTAGGTATCTACACTACTTCTATGAGTAGTAAGTAGTATTCTTTTATCCAGCTGTATTTTAATGTTTGTACGACAATGCTGCATGCCAAGTAATCCTCAGCGGGTAACTTACGGAATCCTTCAAAGTAAAGACGGGAGTAAGACAAGCTGACTGTCTACTATCGCCAATGCTTTTCCTGATTGCAGTAGATTGGATAATGCGAGAGATAACGGGCAATGAGGAAACTGGCATAAAATGGATTCACACAAAGAACTTGGAGGATCTGGACTTCGCCGATGATATATGTCTGATTTCCCACAAACTGGAAGATATGCAAGTGAAAAGCAACAAGTTGGGAGAAGAAGCATCCAGAGAAGTTAGAACTTCAGGTGAACATAGAGAAAACAGAGGTGATGAAGATTCTTGGCCAACACCACCAGCAACAACAACACCAGACGACAGTCAGCATAAATGGGGGGAACCTGAGCGAAACAACCTCCTTCACATACATGGGAAGCATCGTTTCAACTACAGGCGAATGGAACTGACGAGGATATCAAGGCGAGGACCGGGAAAGCAAGTCAGGCTTTCATTTGTCTGAAGCGTATGTGAAGGTCAACAGCACTCAACATCAAAAATAAGATCCGGATTTTCATCTTCAATGTGAAGTCAGTCAGTGCTACTTTACGGATCAGACACTTGGCGCGTCATAAAGAGGATCTCAAGCTAACTTCAGACCTTCATTAACAGTTGTCTTCGCTCAATACTCAAGATCAAATAACCAGAAAAGATCAGAAACAGAGATCTCTGGGAGCGAACCAACCAGGAATCGATTGTGAAACAAATAAGCAGGAAGAAATCGAAGTGGATTGACCATACTTTGAGGAAACCATCAAGTGACATCACACGACAGGCCATTGCTCGAGTGGAACCCAAAAAGGAAGCGGCGAGTTGTTCGTCAGTGCAAGGGTGATTTGGAGGAGGTTATGTGAAGAGGAGATGAAAGAGTGTGGGCAGACTTGGAGCCATGTGAAAACGTTGATGGACAACCGAACTCAATGAAGACGTTTGGCTGAAACCCTATTTTTTATTTTTGATTACAGCTTGATTCCACACCGTATTGTTGGTACAAGTATGGAATTTTCAGCATTTGATATCGGTAACCCAAATTTCGCAGGCCGACCATAGATATCAGGTGCGCGTCGGCGTGTGCCCGGACCATGTGCATGGTCGGCGAGAGTCCTAACCACTGTGCCACCGACGCACACATAATATTTCTGGCTGTGGTGGACTGGATCATGCGGTAGGCTGCGGGGAGCAAGAAGATAGGAATGTGTTAGACCGATAAGAAGACTCTGGAAGATCTACACGTCGCCGATGATTGCTGTCCAACTCAAGACCTACAGGCGGGGATAAGGAAGCTGCTAGGAGAGGCTGGTAGCGAAGACAGGACTTCAAGTGAACATAGAAAAATAGAGGTGATGAAGATAATCAAACAAGTACCATTCACTATTATGGAATTCACTTACGTATTCTGAATTGTTTCAATTATCGGCGAAGATGTCACAGACAGGATCGGAAAGGCAAGTTGGACCTTCATTACTCTGAAATCAATGTAGAAATCTTCTGCACTCAGTATGAAGAACAAGATTTGGATTTTCAACACTAATATCAAGTCTTTACAGATCAGACACTTGGCGGGTCACAAAGAAAATTTCCAACAGCCCGTTGCAGACCTTTGTCAATAACTGTCTTCGCTGGCTCTTTACTGAAGATCAGATGGCCGGGCCGGGCCGGGCCGGAAAGAATCACCAACAAGGAACTATGGGAAGGAACAAATCAGGAAGCAGTCGCCAACCAAAAAAATGCAGTAGAAAGTGGAGATGGATTAGACACTGGGTGACATCTCTCGTCAGGTCATTGCCCGAGTGGAACCAGGCGGAAAAGGAAGCGGCGAGTGGGACTTCAGTGCAAGGGTGAGATGGAGGAGATCGCGTGAAGAGGACAAACACGGATGCAGGTGAAAAGTACAGCAGAAGGAAGACAGAAGCAAGTGGAGACGTGCAGCTGAAGTCCTATGTTCCACTAAGAACCCAAGGGAACAATAATAATGATATCAAGTCAGTTCTTCTGGATTGTCCAGGGATTTGTTTCATTACCAGAGGCTTTTCCAACGGGCTGGTGCAGAATTTTATCAACAGATGTCTTGTCTGTCTCGGTTCTGAAGACCGAATTGCCAGAAAGGTTTGATGACATGGAACTCTGTCAACGAGCCAACCAGGAACCTGTTGCCCAGTAAATATGTTGAAGTAGCTAGAAATGTGTCGGACACATCTTGAGGAATGAGAGAGCGACATCACTTGTAATGCACGCCCAAACGGGAAACACTGAGTTAGGCGTCAGTCCAACAGTGACTCAAAGGAAATTGTATGAAAAGGAAATGCGAGTCAATTGGCAATCGTCAAGCTAGTTGAAGCGGATTGCAGAGAGCAAAATGGAATAGAGTTGTTCTATTGAAGCTATCTGTTCCACTTGAAACTCAAGGAAACAATAGTGATAATAATATACTGAATTCCGAAAGGAATGTCTTTTAAAGAATCGATGACACTAAAAAGCTGTATGTTTGCAACTTTTTTCAACAATTTATGATGCGTTTTCAATGTTTTGAAGTTAAAATTAGAACCACCTTGTTTCTCAAACATCACCTTAACCAGTCAACTAATAATGATATACCTTTATTCTCTTTAATCAATCAGTTTGTAGGCGAATTTCGTTACCCCTTTTTCTCTAATTATGCTCCAAGTGATTGACCGTAAAGCTGAAGGCTTTTCATAATAAAACTTCAAAAAACTAGTCATTAATTGTAACTTTTGTGTTGTTTCTTTTTCCTGTTACATTTAATGCACTTAAACAAAAGAGTTTATTTATAATTTAATTTAACTTGATAGGCAACATATTTTTGGTGAAAATAGTTGAATATCATTTTGAGAAAATTTAATCTAATATATTTAATTCGAAAATAATAATGAATGAATGAATTAAACAGTGTACCGGCCTGTCTTTCAAGAATTCATGTTTATTGTAGTGTTTGTTCAATTAGCCGAACAACTGAATAACGTTTTTCAGTTATGGTTGAATGCTATTGACTTTCAGCTCAATTTCTCGTTGATTGATTGAGCCGAAGTGTTTGACCTCTGTTGACATATTGGCTGCTTGTACGGATGCTTCGACGAGGTCTGAAGATGAGCTTAAAATAATATGACGGATGGTGGCTAGCACTGGATAACTCTCTGGCGTTTGAAACAATGAGTACTGGGCTCGAGCCGCAGTGGGGGAGCACCTTCATTCACCACAGTTATGCAAGTAGATCTATATGACGAGTCCCAATAAGAAGGAAACTCGCATTCTGGATTTCGGTGGTAGTCACCGTCCACCAAATTGCTTCATGGTTAACATTCTTAACCATACCGCCCCTAAGAAAAAGTTTCGCATCAAATTACCATATAACGGGGAAATAAATAGTAGGATTTTGAGACAAAGGGTTAAATTCGATCATCCGTAGAAGCTATTATGCAGCCCAGTTTGTAATTGTCGAGATAGCTAAAAATGTGCTCCACCGCAAACCTCATAAGTGCACAAGTGATTCTGTCACATGCCACACTATTTACCAATTTTCGTGTGTGTATGGTCACACATACATAGGGAGGAGTAATCGCGGTTTGCATGTGAGGGTGAGAGAGCATATCCCGAAATGGCTAGAAAAACAAATGAACTGTGAAAAGACAATAGACGCAGGTGTCAGACTAGCAACTTTGTCTATAGCTAAACACCTAATCGAGATGAACCATAAGACTGTTGTAAACTCAGTCTTTAAGGTCATCTACAAAAACGGTCAAGGGCGCTTACTGAAATACGCCGAGCCTATAGCTATTCATAAACTTAAGCCCCCCGCTATGTATTCAAAAACAGTCTGTTATCACTCTTCACCTACCTTGGTAATCTTTATTTGATTGGATTACCAAACGTTGTGTTAATCATTCTAAAATCCTTTTTTTGTCACTTTGTTTAATTTAACATTTATATATATCGACTTGACGAGTAAATGTGTGATCAGATTGTTCGAAATGTATAGCGCAAATACATCACATTTCTCAGATGATCTCCGTCTTTTTATAACGCTATCCAAACTTATTTTTCATTGAAGATTAAGACAAAATTTTGAGGTATTGCGAGTACAGTTCAACCACGCTAAGTGTTTGCGCTTGAATGCACATGCAACTAACTCGTCATTTCACTTAAAATCATTTCCAGTTATCACGCCTTAGTTTCTTCTAAGTTATTCTCAGTAAATGTTGACCCTTTTTTAACAATATGAAATACACAAAGAATATTTCAGTCATTTACATTTTTGTAACGAATAATAATGGAACATGAAATAGGAAAACGGTGGGATTCGAACAAACAATCATACTGGATTTACTAATCCGACCTGATATTTCAAGGTCATCTCCGAGGTTACCACTAAAAATCATTTTTCTCTTATTTCTTTTCTCTTTTTTTCTCTCTTATAGCTGGAGAATCTAGCAGTTGTATTATGAAAGAATTTCTTTCACGTAAATGCAAAAAGAAGTCTTCGTCAACTTTAAATAGTAAATACCCGTCTGTTTTAAGCTCGGACTCATCTGATGCTCCTATAGCAAGTCATGAATCCATTGTTATGACTGCTTATCTACCTAAGGAAGATGGTGTCATCATAACGGAGGCCAAAAATGATATACGAAACAATAGTAACAAGGCAATAGTTGGTAAATCAAACGGTGAGGATAAAACTGATGCCAGAAAATCAACAAATAAAGCTGTACTGCCCGTTGGTGAAGGTGTAATTCAAAATGAAGTACCAAGTCGTAAGTTATCATTATTGTTAATATTATTCCTTTGGGTTCCAAATGGAACATAAGGCCCCAACAACACATATGCACTCTCTTCTATTTTCTACTGTCCTTTTCAGCTGGGTCCACAATTGCCCATAATCTTTCATCTCCTCTTCACATGCTCACCTCCTTCATGTCAACCTCGACCTGCTCGTCGCTTCCCATTGGGGTTACAATCGAGCGACGATCCACATTGCACGTGATGTCGTTTGACGGTTTCCTCAACGTATACCTGATCCATCTCCTTTTTCTCATACGTATTTGTTGAGCTGTCGGCTCTTGGTTGTTTTGTTGCCAGCCATAGTTTCTTGCTGCTAATTCTTTCTTACCGGCAGACTGGCCATTTAATTTTCATTATAGAGCCAGCAAAAGAAGCTGTTGATAAAAGTCTGCAGTAGCCTGTTGGAAATCCTTTTTGTGACGCACAGTTCAAGTTCCTGACCTGTAATGAACAACCGACTGACTGACTTCACATTTTGTTGAACAGAATCGAAATCTCTGCTTTTCTGCTGGCTGGTTTCAGGTTGAAGAAGGCGTATCTTGCCTTTCCGACTCTGGCTGGCTGCCTTTGAAATCTTCATCCATTCTGCCGCCTGTGGTTGAAACGATGCTTCCTAGATAGGTGAAGGAAGTGACCTCTTTCAAATCTCTCTCGTCGAAGATGATTGGTGCTGGCTGTTGTTGGTGATGTTGTTGTGGTTCGTTGGTTATTTTCACCGCCTACGTCTTCTGTATGTTCACCTGCAGTCCTGTCTTCGCTGACAGACTGCCAGTCTGTTCAGCCAGTTTGTTGGTTTTCGCCTGCAAGTCTTTGAGTTTTTGTGGCATTGAGCATAAACAATCTTCTAGAATCTTCTTATCGGCCCAACATATTCTTATCTTCTCACTCCCTACTCACAGTCTGACTCATAATCCCCCTCCACCACAATTACGAATATTTCCAGTGATAGCGTGGTAAGAGCAGATTGCTAGTCAATTGGTAGACAATAATTTGCGTCAATGTCTAGGTTGCTAATATTGGCCGTGAGAAAATATGAACAAGACTCATTCAACAACCAATCACAGCAGACCTAACGTGGGCAAACACGATTCGCAGATATATGGCTTAACTTTCTGAGAAACCAGTCACAAGCAGTACAGAATAACCTTCAGCAGGAAACAACCAATCAGAAGACTGTGTTTGTCTGCTTGAATAAGCTATAATAATGTACATGAAATATATATAACTACGTGCTGATTTCCTTAATAAAACGACCCGTCGCCTGGTCCTTGTCTTCTGTTTTTACATTAGTACATAGGCAGTTTTGTCCTATTTGTGTATTTACTTCGAATGCCTCTCTAAGTTTTCCTGGTTGTGGATCACCTGATTTTTGACATTGTCATATAGTGAGCTGTTCAATGAAGTTGATAATGACTTGGGTACTATACCCCATAGTGTTGAAACCGTTTCCAAATTACCCGGTCAACGCTGTAAGTTATCATCATAGAAATGTTTATGAAGTGTAGTAAGATATGAGTGCTGAGAAATCTAAGTTACTTGAATTCGAACTGTCTAGGTTATAATTGGTATTTCAGATTTGATTTTAGTGACTCCGTTACCATGGCGAATTTGTGTTTGGTTACGATACTAGTAAAAGGTTGTTTACGTACAGAAAAGATGGGAAAATTAAACAGAGATTAACTAACGTTAGATGATATACAAATGTTTATTCTTTATTTCTGTGAATGTTAACAAACCTAAAAGTTTAAAAAATGGTGACATTTATGATATATATGTATATATATTCCTGACACAATCGATTTGTAAAAGTAATTAAAGTACCTAAGACTTTTTCTATTAGATCTATGAATTTCAAAATATTCTACTGCGTAAACACCATGACAACTGCCGTTTTTATTGCCACAAGTTATTGCTTAGATCGAAAGAATGCACCGACCTGCTTGCTTTAATAACCTAGTGATACTTGTTCCTCAAAATTTTCTAATATCCCTTCCATTTGGTAGTGTGTAGAATTAAGCACTCTCCTGAAATATTCCTCCATTTTAAATGGCGCCAGGTTTCGGCAGTTCTGTATGGCGGAGGCGTTGGCAATTTGTCAACACAACCCGGAACTCTGTATACAGAAAGTGTCTGTGCAGTCTCTTATTCTATCATGATCTTAACCTCTTCATTAGTCACCCTCTGTAATTTATTTTTTATTTTTAATGATTACTTTGCTTTTATTTTAAGAATTAATTCACTATTACCATACTCACATGTTCCTTTTGCGCGTATTCACATCCTCTTGACACTTGTTAAATGGACACTCAACTAAATTTCTTCTCACTCAACAACAATTTTAATCTCATCAAGTTTCAAGCGCTTTTTCCTATGTGTCGTTGAGTATTACATAATTTATAACTTTTATTTTTACTTTCTAAGTCACTTTTAAGTGATTATATCAATTATATCGCCTCTATTAGTCAATAATGGACTACTATATGTTTTTGGTAAATATAAATACGACTTCACAGCTGCTGAAGAATGTTTCATCGATAAAGAAAATTTGCTTCGCCGAATTGTAGTTTATTTTTTCAGCTCACTTGAGTTGTGAAGAAGACAGTCCTACTGAGGGAGTCAGCTAGCTAACTGATAAGTTGCTAGTGTACTCAAACTGGAAGTAATGGGGAAGTTTTTTGAACTTATTTCTTCAAAACTGATTGATATGCGCCGATAGCTATGCTGAAATATAGAAAGTCAAACGATTGACTGACTAACTGACTGATATTCAACATAGAAGTCTTCAGAAAAGTACAACACTTTAAGCTACCACATTCCATGTAGCACTCAAAAGTGTAGACTAAGGAGAGAAAAAAAAAGAGATTCAGCAGGGTTGCTATAATAAACATATATGTGAAGCAGACAGAACAGTAACATAGAAAAACATTGAAGGTGTAATAGATATGGAAGATCAAAATCGAGTGAATGCATCTGCACCATTAAGAACGATTTTGAACCAAATCTCCAACAGTCTCCAATCATTAGATTTTAGAGTCACGAGAATCCCCATCAGGCAGCGTACACCTCCTTACTAATTGTCTAAGATTTCATGGACTGATGTCAGGTTTTGATGTGACCTCCAACTCTTTTTCCAGCCTGATTCTATGTCAACTAATATTTCCTGAAAAGGATGGCGATGATTTGGCTTATGCAACACGTTTCCTGTTCATCTCAGTTGATCCACCTTCACAACCTCATTGGTTTACTTACCTTCTTTACGCAATACTCTATGCCTAACTTCAATATTACTTACCATATAATACCAATTACCAATGGAGATAAAACGTAAACATTTGTGTTTGAAGACAGCTAGCCTTTCCATATGTTCCATCCGTCTGTTTGTCTGTCTTTTCGACATAGAACTTTGCACCGATATGCAGCAGTTCAAGTCACCACACTCCCTCCATGTAGCACACAAAGCAACAGAAGAAAGTAGAAGAAATGCATACCAGAGACAGTAAACAGAGGTGTGAGACAAAGGAATAGTAATAACGAAGAACTATATAGTTTCATTGGAAACTGCACTCGCCATTGAGAACGATTTCGAGTCATATCAGCAATAGTTTCCAGCCAGTCAGGAAGTCTACACCTTCAAACGTGGCTGGTTTAAGCTAACTGTTGTGGATTTCATTTACTGATGAGGCCATGTTTTGGTTTGACCGCCACTAGCTCTTTTTCAGTCTGAACCTATATTAGCTAACATTGCCTGTCGGTCAAGGAAGGTAATGACTAGGCATAAGTGACACATGTCCTAACCATCTCATTCGATGTAGCTTCACAGCCTCGTCGATTGATTTCCCCTCTTTACCTTGAACTCGATGCCTAACCTCAATATTGCTCACCTTATCATACCACTTCACACGGGGAATAGAGCGCAGGCACCTATGATCAAAGACAGCTAATCTTTTCATGTCTTCCACTCTCAATGGCCACATTTCACAGCTGGCCATAAAGGAGGACGGAGTGGAGTACTGAGCAGTACACCCGCTCTTTGGTCGATAACCGGCTATCACGTCTGCACCAGAAAACGACTGAATATCAGTCCTTTATATTTTGCTTTCCTTGAAGCTTCACAGTTTTACATCCTAAGCATATTCCTCACGTTATAAATATCTATCGTATTGTAATGCGGAAGTCAGTTTAAATGAACTTTTAACCAGTCCTCTTAATTTAATTGGTGGATGGTGACTAGCAGTGGAATCCAGAATGCGCATTTCGTCCTATTTGGGACTTGTCATCCGGATGTACCTGCATTTCTTAGTGAGTGATGATGTTCCCACCGAGGCTCGAACCCAGTGCCCATAGTTGTTAACGGCAAAGCGTTATCCACTAGACCACTTGGGCCACGAAGCCGACATGTCAACCTGAGACCGAACACTTCGGTCCAATCAATCAACGGGAAAACCAAGAAATTCAGTCCTCTTAATCTTTGAATTCTCTGTCTCTGTCTATGACAAATCACCCTCGCGGCATTTTTTTTACTATTGAGACTTTTATAAAGCGACTACTTTAAGAGGATGTATCAGACAACTGGGTCAATTTAAATAAACCCTTACACGTCGAAAGTGTAACGTTTTAAGCGAGAACAAAAACATAATTTAGCATGATTTTTTTCTACAACATTCAGACGAATGTTTTTTCCTGTCACTTTTCAGAATGCCCTCTAGTAATAAATTAAATACTTTCGAAGACTAGTGTTTACACACACATACTAGACAATGAAATGTAACTATGCATACTAGGCTGCCTTAACTGCGTTCATCAAGAAATAAGTTGGTTTTGTGTTTCAATGCATTTATGAACAATCAAAACTTTGACAGCTTTTAAAAACATTATAATTATATTGGTTATTATTGCATAATTACATATTATCAGTGTAATGATCATGTGTCGTGTTGTTCTTGAAACAAATAGATTTATAATAGATGCTAGA